CCTTTCGAGGTCATATTATATATCATTCGATGCGCCTTGACGAGCTAAGAACGATGGCGTTCGAATCGATCCTCTGTCTTGTGTGCAAGACAAGTTATTCAAGAAAAACTACCGCGAAATTCCTGTTGTGAAAATCGTAACATTTTGTCTTCGGTGACCTCTGGTGACCTCGTTTTTGACCTGACCCAAAAATGATCTTAGTATTTCTTGTCGATCTCATCTTAACCTATCCAACGCCGTTTACCGCTTGTCGCTACGTTGCGCCGTTTTCGAGATCTCAGGGGGGGTTGTTTTCAACCCCCCCCCCCCCCCCTGCAGTTCGTGTTCGGCTCAGACCCGCTGCAGTGCGCGTGTTAACATTAGCCCTATGGGCGCTGCATGGAAAGAATGGGACCAAAAGTCGGCAGTGCCCCCCCCCCCTTAAGTGAAGGTGTTCCGCCGCCACTGGCAATCGTTGGTCATTTGATATCAGACGAGAAATAAACTTCTTCCGTTCATCTTCATGCGCTTGAAGCAGGTGTTCGAAATACGAGTATCCACCCAATTCGGTGTAGCACTGAACACAGCTCGGCTCGTAGATATAAAACTTTATCAGAATTCACTGGGATTGTATTGCGTATGCATGTCCAAATATTTCGGCCAATATTGTTTGGCCTTGGTCACTGGACAACTACAATAACCCGTTATTGAGGGTTAGAGTAGTTGTCCAGTGACCAAGGCCAAACAATATTGGCCGAAATGTTTGGACTTGCATACGCAATACAATCCCAGTAAATTCCGATAAAGTTTTATATCTGCAAACATAAACCTGGGAAAAATATGACTCTAAAACAACAGCTCGGCTCGCCGTCGGGTCTGAAGTGTCATTTGCCGCAGCTACTCCTCATTGATGTTGCAGGCAAATTACTCCACAAAATCTTCCACCTGACTCAAAGGTTTTATCCTGTGAGTGACGACTTCGTGCTATAGAGATGGGGTTTGACATTGAAGTCGGGGCGCCTTCCTGCCTGAAATGCAGAGCCGTGGGATTTTAGGATGGGCCAGAGTCGTTGGGCTGAGAGGACCACCGACAGTGAGTCGCAGCGGCAGAGACTGTCCCGGTGAGACGAAGTTTTCTCGTTGGGACAGCCCATCCTGCCGCTCAAACGGTCACCCCGGAGAGGGTGGGGTCCAATATGAGGGTTGCCCTCATTGGACTAGCCACCCCAGAATTGCTTATGTGAGTGAGGATGCCAATGGGTAGATTCTGACAAAGAAGAGGACGGATGTGGGCAGTGATGTTGCGTTTGCGGGATAGCAATTGGCTGTTGCACTTCGCTGACGAGAAGTGCACCGCCGGTATCATATTAAATATAGGGAAGCTCTGCTATGTATGTACAGCTGCTCTGCTGTACTTTGTACCACTGTGGTTTTACAAACTCCGATTGTTGGCTACATGACAATCTCAAGCAGTGGGGCAGTGGATGGCTTTGGGCTTGAAGACAGAATGGCTCCGTGTCCATTCTGTCTTCAAGCAACAGAACGGGCTGATGCCTTGCATCAATTAGGTGCGCCAACCCAGGCCATCACCATCGTTCCATGTGCTGCACTTGGATAGCTGGGGAGTGGGGACTCGGATGGCTCAGGACGAGTTCGTTCGCGACGGACTCTATTCCTTTGCAAGAAGGGATTGACATCGAAGATGACGCTGCCCTAACCATCCATCTAGCTATAGGAATATTCGTAGCCGAATGACACACATCACGCACAGTGCTGAGCAAAGCTGCGCTGCCCGGAACGGGGTGAACAGGGTAGCTGAGGAAAACAGCACTGCGTTAACACATTCTACTCGTGTCTTAAAACCTCACATGTGCTGATGGCGTGAAAGGTGCCTTATTTATCGTGGTGCAGAATACGATTGTAAGGGAGTAAATGCAAAGAGAGATGCAATTGACCCGCGAAGTTACATTTGAGATAGTTGCCTTCCTAACTGCACATCATGCGCAGTATTGATGGCCACTATTTAGGCATTAGTGTATTTCATGAAATAAACATGCTGTGTAATGACTCGTGCGTGCAAAATGTCAAACGGAGAATGCAGCTCAACGATTCAACTTTAAAAACTCGTGTCGTGTATCAGTGAAAAATGCAGTGACGCACTTATTGGAGTCGTTTTGAAATGCGTACCTACTGGTTGCGTGACGAGTCGCGTAATCGCTCGGTGTCCTTATGCTCCAGTTACCAGAGTTGCAAATGCCAGTGTGATAATGTCACTCTGACTGGCAGGAATGTCCTGGCTTTTGGAGCATTTTTCTTTATTTTGTTGTGCAATTTTTGTATGATTTCTTAAACCTAGCCAACTGTTGCCAGGTACGACACATGGAATTGGGTTCAAATAGGGCGCGTTTAGGCATGCACCATGATTTTTTTCTCTAAAAAAGTGCTGTCCTTCTGTTCTCCTTGTGATGCCGACTGCCTTTGATCCACAGCGGACGATCATGTGCTTTGACGTTTCGTGTTTTATGCTTATGTTTTTCCTAGCATTTCTTTGGTTTTAAACATAAAAATACTTGTGTTACACACTTTTCTCCAATAAAATATGCAGAAATCTTGTGGTATATCAGTTGGCTTCGATTAGCTTTCCTAGCGTGTGCCTTTATATCGAATCCATCCCCAACACCGCTGATCCCTATCAGCCACGGCTCGCCAAGTTGCGTGTCGCTTCTCATTGGATCGAGGGGGCACCTTGTCGACGGACCGGCCGACCTTTTTTGCGTCGGGCGGGTTCTTTTCGGGCCGTTCACCCCTCGGTTCAGACCTCGCACAAAAATACGAGCCCTGTGCCGAGGCGTCGTCTAGAGCGGGCATCCAGTTATTGACTTGTGTTTTTGCCACTCTCTTTTTTCTCTCTCTGCGCAGACTTGTTTTTGTCGCCGATAGGCCGCTTTGGCGCAACAATGTGGAAGGTTTGGGCGGGAAGAGGGCGAGGTGAGATATAGAGAGCAAGGGAGAGGAGGGGAGAAGGTCCTGATGGAGAACAAAATGTAAAATATTGAAGAGTAGTGGAAGAGCCTGCCTTGGATGTTTGAAGCATGGCTGATGGCCCATTCAAGGGCGATCGAAATTCTTTCAAGTTGTGGGGCAAACTCAAATATGGATCTATCCGAACCTGTTGGAGTCAACTGGCAATAAGAAAGTTGTTTAGCTTGGGGTAGGGGGTATCCGATGCCATGTCTAACTTAAATGGGGCATGGGGTATAACATAACTAACATGGTAACAAAACAACTACAAAATAACTACAATGTAACCTTTACCACTCAATTCCAGGCATCGCGTGTATCTCTAGGATGGTTTGTGTGCAATTTGCTCATGGGATTTGAGCCATCAACACCCCACCGTGTCTCCAGCTCTGCTGGAGTTGGCAAAGAAAGGAAAATAGATATAACATTATCGTTAAATACCAGCTTTTACCTTATTAAAGTTACCTCCGTTAGAAATGTCGGATAGACTCCGTCACCTATATAAATATTTTATTCCTAAAAGATGTGGGGGCAGCGTCCCCATGACCCCGAACTTGGGGGGGGGCAAGCTGCCCCCACTGCCCCACTCACCACACAATGCATTTCCATGTGTCATGGTTGGGGTGCTGCTGCACGTGCGCACGTGCAGGGGCTGCTCCCAGATCTCGAGAACGACTGGGCCGATTACGCTCAAACTTGGTACACCATTAGGAACCGGGGAATAGGGTGCCGGGCAAAAGTCAGTTAGAACCCAGTCTGCACGTGTGCACGTGCAGAAGGACGCCTTAACATTTCGAGCACGATAGACCAATTCGCCGAAATTTGTCACACCGTTAGGGAACGGTTATTAGTGTGACCCGTATAAGCCAGTTGAGTGTACCACTTCACACTTCAGCACGTGCACCGCTCTCACCCTCTCGCTCGCTCGTCTCTCGCCCCAAAAGGCGTCTCACTGCTTATATGCATATCCAACACACTCATTTATTTTTATGCTAGATTAATAATATGCAGACTATGCTGCCATCTGAGAAGTGAAAGGGAGGTCACTTTTTTAAGTAAAACAGAACAATAAGGCGGCAAGGCAAAGTTGATCGACACTAGGGCTAAATTTGTATCGACCAGTAACGACCAAGAACTTTGTCCAAAGGCCACAACTAATGTTAATAAAACATATATTGTAATAATTGTTTATCTTTTCAATGTCATTCTGTCGTCTCTACATCTGTCGAGGAAGCATATTTTTTACGTAACCCCGTCAGGTGTATTTATGTAATTTGATACTTGATGACTGTAATCGAAGTTGTATGAATTTGGTGACAAATTAAGTTACATAAATGTCTGCAAGGAACCAGGATCATGTATCTGGTACGGGCAGTACGACTTCCTTGTTCCGATTGTGTCTGCCACGAAAGAAAGAGGATCTAACCTCGAAACATGCCCCCGTGGTCTATCGCCACGTGACCAATGACGGCTAAAGGACAGGAATTAGTGATGTCTTTCAAATACGCTAAAAATTTAAATATCATGCATAGACCGTTTTTCATAGTTCGACCCTTCGCTGTAATTAGGTAGTTAGTTTTTTTTTTTAACAGCACGAAATTTGTTGAGAGAATGACTTGGAAAACTGGTCACCGCACAGTGTTTTGAAGAGATGAATAGTATTTGCAAAATGTGCTTGAATACCGACGCAGTACCGTAGTGCTGAACGCCGTGAGAGACCTATTGATGAGCTCAGTTATAATAATAGACAGGTCGAACATCGCTGTGGGGTTGTAGATACAGGGGAATACGAAATGCTAGTTGGGAAAATAGGCGTCACGTAGCGATAATTGTGATCAAGTTAAACGACTGTGAAATGCAATGTGCGCTAACCAGTTTTCCAATGAACTCAGCTAATAAGTCTCGTGCAGTGTTCAACTAGCTAGACATTTGCAATGAAAAGCGAACTTTAAAAAAAAAAACACGATTCAAGTAACATTTCGCTGAAAGGCTCGCGCTTACGTCCGATGAACATCTTCATTGTATTCGTTTCCCATCGAAATTCACATTAGATCCATGCGTGCCAAAGAAGGTGCTTTATTGTTGTAGTTCGACATAGCTTGTATAACGGTTATCATAACATGTGCGTTACACAGAAATCGTTTCAGTAAACACAGAAATACTTGCAGCGTACATATACCTACTTTCATAAAAACAAGCCGGTAAAAATTTCTCAAGTCTCTTTAATGTACTTTACAACGCTGTACATTGCAAATTGATATTGAAATGTGACTTAAGATGAGGTGTGCAGTGCATGTTACCTACTGCAGAATGCAAGAATGCATGAAGATTGAAGAGTGCATGTTACTTACTGTCTTGGTATTTGCTACTTGCTAGTGTAGTAACTCTCCCACACTAGTTATGTTATGGCACCGTTAGAAGTGATAAACGAATTAGACAGTTTTCGGTAATTAAATCGTTTGAGTGCGCCATTTGACTATACATCTTTTTGTTCTATTGTACATTCACCATGAGATATAATATCAGTATATCAGTATATCAGTATATTAGTATATCTTATTTTTCTGTCAACTGGGTTGCTACCCACACATATTGAATTTTAACTAAAGTATTAGCTTAACTTTAGATAAAACAGTACTGTTGCAATATAAATAAGTCCTACCGCGATACAGCTATGGTCGCTTTCTGAGTATTCCTTATACATTGCACTATATTTGCAATTTTACTACCTTCACCTCGAGCGCCTCGCCGGCACTGAATCGCTTACAGAACATCTTGCAATAAATCGAATATACATAGTTGCATTTAACCACATGTGCTGCGTTACTATGTCCTGTCCTTACACCCTTACATTATACAAAAACGTCAGGCAACAACAAAATTAAACACAAAACGATGACAACATAACTAACACACCAGGAGATATCTTCACAAAACAGAAACAAAACAAGTAAGCATACTAAAATACTGTCACATCGAAAGCGATTCCCGAGGCCTACTTATTTTTCTTCTCCTTCTCGACGTAATCAAAGTTGGGGAAGTGCTCGAAGCCGACCGGGTGGCTCCTGAAGAACTCCCTTCCTGGGTCCTGGTACTGCCGGGTCATGGCCGAGCCACGGTTCAGGCTGGCGTACGTCTCCGGCCGGTCATACCTCGTCTCCAAGCCGTCCCCGTACCCGGGAGCCGACCGGCCGTTCGTGGGGCGAGTGTCGCTATGGAGGTACCCCCGGGGCATGCCCAGGTCATCTGTCAGCGAGGGTCTCGAGTGGGCGGATACCTCGTAGGAGCGAGTGGCGTCAGGGTTGGTGTAGGTGTGAGTTTCGTACGGGGCAGGTTCGTCGTTTAGAGGTGCCATGTCTTGCGCTCGCTCGTGCTCCTTGACGCTGTTGTCACGATCGTCCGCCTGACGGCGCTGGTATCGGTCTTTGTTGTAGGTGGCAGCACCATCTGCGCCGTAGCTGCGCTGAGATGGCTCGGTTTCCTGGCTGTCAGTGCTTCTGAAGCTATCCGCACCGCGGCGCTGCTGTCGCTGAGCTGGATACGAGTCGACTGCGGGGTAAGTGTGTCCGCTGGGGTTTCTTGAATAGTACTCGGGAGGGCCGTCTCGGTAGTCGGAATATCTGGAACGTATAGGAAAAACGCACCGTGGTGTTAGCTTTGTAATTTGTTGTGTACCCTGACGCCCCTGACCATCAGTCCACTTATGTGACAAAATGAATGGTTTAAATGAACATAAATGGTTATTGGCTTAGGTACTATGAATAAATCAAGATAATGAGTAAATGAGTAGCTGGTTGAATAAATAGGTGAAACAAATGAATGGATGCTGCATGAATGAATGAATGAATGAATGAATGAATGAATGAATGAATGAATGAATGAATGAATGAATGAATGAATGAATGAATGAATACAGGAAGGGAATATGCAAATCGGTTATTAGAACAAGAGGAGGCGAATGAATGAATGATGGCCAAATGAATGAGACCATGAGCGAATGAAGGAATTGGCTCAAATGATAGTGACGGAGCCAGTAAAATGCTACCGGACAATTATACTAGAACTTGTTTTTGTTGGGTTAGGGCCGCCCTTTCGGTCCAATTAGACCATTTTAGAGCCGGAAGGATGTTAGGAATTAGGGGGAGACATTGGTCTGATCAGGCACCCTAGTGAGTCGCCGGGGCTGAGCCCTTCCCGAAGGACAGGCCGGCCAGCCCCAAGGTACTCACTGCACCCGGCTACGGGGTGCGCTCCCTCGGGAGCAGCGGTGCCGCTCCAAGGGAGCAGCCCGCATGAGATAAAGTTGCCTGTCCAGTCCGGAGTGGGGGTTGCAGCGTGAAGGAGAAGGATTTCTGCATCCTGAGGATGCAAACGACGGAACGGTGGTGAGAACTTAACTCCCAGTCCCAACTACTGTCCTAAAGCTCACCTGTTGGGTGTGTCCTCAGGAGCTCTGAACGGCCGCCGCTGTGAGGGGTAGTCCACGTACTCATAATCCTGGCCACTTCCCTGATAGTCATAGTCATAGTCAGGGACGTTGGGGTCTTCATACTCAGGCCTCTCGGAATCATCGTAGTCATATTCAGCAGGCTCGTCATCTTGACGGTCTTCCTGCAGCCTCTCGACGAACTTGTCATCTATCGGCGCTTTTCCGAACCTGTAGTCAAACAGATCGCCGATGGTGGCGCTGTGGTCGCCGTCTCGGTACCCGGCGTCGTGCTCCTCAGTGTAATCCGGAGAGGGCGGAGGGGGCGCGGGCCGGCGCTGCCCGGTGCCGTACCTGTCGTACCCGCCTCCGGAGGACTGGGAGGACTCCACCTTACGGTGGTACTCGGGTACAACTCCTCGCACGTGGTACCCGCCTCCGTTGCGACGCTGCGCTGGACGAGCGTCCGAGCGGTACTGGGGTACCTCAGCGCTGTACGGTGGCTCCGCCTGGCGGTACTTTGGTGTATCTTCGCCGTACTGTGGTACCCCAGCGCGGTACTGTGGTACCTCAGCGCCGTACTGTGGTGTGTCCTCACCCTGGGTATCAGTCCTCGGCCCGACCTCGTGATTATGCTCGTCATCACTCAGAAACCTCGCCAGGGCCCGACCGGTGTACGAGTCATCCACTACAGGCTGATGGTCGGTGGTGTTCGCGCTATCCCCCGCACCGTGATAGTGGCCCGCGTGACGCTTAGACCTGGATCGGACACGACCGGCATAAGTATCACGGAACCGGCCCGACTTGAACGCCCCCGGGGTCTGGTAGCGGGCCTTATCCTGCTCCTCGTCTGGAGTTAGGAAGTCGTCTTCTCCTGAGAAATGTTCGTCTGGATCCTGAGAGTTTCTCCCGCCGTGGGGGCCCGAGTGATAATCGTCACGTTCCGAGTCGATCTCGATTCCGTCAAAATCCGGCTCGTAGTCGAAGTTATAGGTGTCGCCACCGTCTCGCTTGTGTTTGTCGCCGGGGGTGGAGGAGTGTTTGTCCTGTTTGGGGTCGCCGTAGGAGGAGGACTCGCTGTAGCTCACGTGCTGGTTGTTGGGGTCTTTGCTGTTGCTGGCGTAGGCGCAGTCCTCCGTCTGTGAATAGAAGAGTGGATGGTAGTGATCAGATCAACGCTTGCTAGAGAAAGTAACGCTTATTAAATGATTGTCGTCGATGAACAAATAAGCAATGCAGGGGCATTTGAGTAATTGCTGATGGATATTCGTTAGTGTGACGGAATGTATGAATCAATGAACTGAAGTAAGTGGCGAGACAAAGCTAGTCTGAATTGCATTGGTTTTTCAAGCAATTATGCATGCATGACAAATTGCATGTGGCAAATGCTTGGTTTTAGGGCCTATTCGATGCATGGAACGAAATTCGACATTTTGTCGATTAAGCTATTAACAAAAAAAAAACTTGATATAAAACATAGAGCAACGCTGGAGGAAGCGATTAATCCGACATTTATGCCTACACCGAGCAGAAATTCATCGAAGAAACATTTCCGCCCGTCACATCCCTCACTCACCTGGAATCCCTTGGCGTCGGTGCACTGGTAGCAGGTCATGCCGTCCTTGGCCACCTCCTTGCAGTTGGCGTCCTCCTTCTTCTGTGCCAGCGTGTCCAGCATGGCTGACACAGTGCGTCGGGAGTCGGCGTAGCCGCGGTGAGCTTCATCCCGGATCTCGCCTGGGGAATATGACGTCATTGGTTAGTTGATGGGGGGATATGTGTGGGCTTTATTTGATCATGACACATTCGATCATGTATCTGTCATTTGCTGAGGGTGTGGACTGTGGTGGGCGATGGGTATAAATGACTTCTCAAGTCAGGGATAAGTTGAACGGCAACATGGTTATTTTTGACACACATTCTTGATTCGTACGTCATTGGATTCTGGAGGCAGGGGCTAAAGATCACTGACCTCTTTTCATTCTACCACGCGTGATCTCGAGAGATGACGTTCTAATGAGAGCCATTTTGTGTCACGGTACGCTGCCTGTCTGAGGAGCAATGAGTGGCGATTTTTCCGGTCGTCGGTGTGTTGGAGCCGCGGGACCCCCCGAGAGTGAAGCACTTTCATTGGACACGGATCAGGGGGTTCGCTGACGGTATATGGCGTGTCATGACGAGAGCCGCCAGTGACAGATTTACCTCAGCGCCGGGGGAGGTGGATGGTGGTCCGCAGACTGATTACTCGCTATGTGACTGCGTCAAACGTTCTTGGGTTATTCTAAAAACAAACGGCAAGAAACGCTTTTGCTTAATGCCGACAAGACAGCGAGAGAAATCACAAATAAAAAGTGCATGAAGATATTATATTGCTGATGTGAAACGTGATATACCAGCTGCACTCAGTGACAGACCTGGAAATGTGATCCATAGAAGGATTTCAAGCGGAAGTTTCTGCTACTCAGTTTTGCGTTCATGCGTTAGGCGGCACGGGCGGACATCGATAGCAGCGCCTCTATCGGTCACTAGGGAAAGCTGGGCTGTAGGCGACGAAATACCGGCTGAGTTGTCACACGTTGAATAGGTTTATAGCCATCCGTCTTGTGGAAAAGTTGAACTTTTGCCTTTAATATTTCTACAGGCAATTTTTGAAGTGTCTTCACATGGATTACAAAACCGTTTAGATTATTGTATTCACTTCAAGCCTTCCCTATTGTTCTTGATGATGCGGGAACTATTTCTAATAAGTGTTTCTAGCTTAGTAAAAGAACATACTGTGCAATTGCAAACGATGAAAAAAAGCATAAATGGAAGATTTTAAATGCAATTTTCTCTAACAATTAATGGTAAATTCTCTACATATCAAGGAAAAGGTGCATGCTAACTGATAATTTAAAGTTCTTGGGGCCAGTTGTTTTCTTCTTTTCTTACGTCGCCCCAATGGCCGCGAATACACTTGTGATAACGCCTATCGTGCTTATAGACATTTGCAGCTCGGAGCGCTGCGAGCTGGGAGGAAAATATTTCAGAACTGCGAGTTAGAACTTGATAGCGAAGAAATATGTCATGATTCCAATTGGAGGAGCGAGTAGCAATTTGCACGCGTGAAAGCTATGCTCCAGCCTTCGATTGCTCTTGAAAGCAGTGGCAGCAAATGCCCCAATATACGGGTCGAAACTATATGCACGTGACTGTACGGTTAGCCGACCTCCCATCCGACATTCTCGGTCAATGATTCACCCCGCACGTCTCTGGACCGTAACAGAACAGCTGCGCTAGACTCATTGTTCCATGGCGCATCACCCCCAGGACGGGCAGCGGTTACGGGCTGTGCAGATTGAAGCCACACTTGCGGCAAATTTGAACAACTGCGGTGGTGCCCAAGCCGGAACACGGCACAGTTTGAAACGCTTCAGTACCACAGAGGTCAGAGTGATACCCTGAAGTGGCTATGCTCAGGCGAACAGCCGAAAAACAAGGCAGCAAACAGGATTATCTAGCTCATGCCGGACTCTGGCTGAAATCGGTGCTAATTACTGATGGAGATCTCTGTCTCAGGGGTGGGCTGAGCCGGCGCTCAGGACCCGGAGAGAGCTGGGATCTGGTCTGAACGCTGACTTACCGAGCTGTGTAGCCAGGCTCAATGCAAATGAACTGAGGCCAGGGAGCTCGGCGGAACTAGCGGTACTGGCGGTTCTAGGATCAGCTGAGGGTCTGTTACCGAGGGCCAGAACAAAGAGCAGACCACGGGATGCAGCGGTGATGAACGACTGACACCGAGTGATGCTGAAAGCTGAAGGGAAATGCGTACACTTAAGTTTCTCAGCTGTCTGGGACCATCAATAGGACCAAAATACTAACAGGAACATGTGCTACACACTCACCGTCGATGTCCCTGATGCGTTCATCGCCGCTTGCTCCGTAGTAGTCTCTAGTCGGGTCGTCCTTGTATCTCCCAGACTGGTAACCGGGGTCGTAGAACTTGCTCTTGTTTCTGCTGCCGCCTGTGCCGCGTCTGACGCCGTCACCATGGTAACCACTGCCCTCGTCGTCATGGTAACGGTTGTTGGCGTCTCGGTAGTCGCCGTGATCTCCGTAGTCGTAGTCGTCAGCGGGGTAGTCTTCGTAGTCATAGTGATAGTCGTCCTGGCGTCCCTGGCTCCTTCTGCAGGAATAAATAATCAGCTTTAAACCGCTTTGTGGAACAAGCATATGTAAATAATGTGGCAGAAAATATCTCGTCTTAGACGGCTTTATACTTGCTGAAGGACAATCTCGGCCTAAAAATAGCGACTTAATCTCTATCCAGGCACCATAATGGGGTAAAAGACAGGTTTTTGATACTCATATCCCATCTGCCCACTTGAGGCTTTTTCCATGCAAAATATTGAACGATATGAACACGATCGTTATGCTGGCGCTAAAGCAGCTCATTCGCTGGTGCTTCATCGTCATTCTGGCTGCGTTGGAAAGTGTGTGTAGCTCACGCTCAGTGACGGTAAATTACACGCGCGTTGTCAGACAGCGTGTCCGCGATCGCGCCGTCACTGGCGCGGGTAAAAACTCAGCAACTCAGAACAGTCACCAGTCACGAACAGCTCAGCAACTCAGAACAGTCACCACTCACCAGTCACGAGCAGCTCCGCAACTCAGCAGCTCAGAACTATCACTGGCGTCTGAGTTCTGAGTTGCAGCAGTCCAAAGAAAAATACCCAGTGAAGTACCAAGCATAGAACAACTTCCATGTGTCATTGTGCAAACAAAGAAATATTAAAAAAGACGTATTTTCGACTTACGGTGGGCCGTCGCGATAGTCCCTGTCGTACTCGCGCCGGGCGCCGTAGTCGTTGTCGTACTCCGGGCCGTACCCGGCCGTACGCCGCCGTTCTCCGTCGTACCGAGGACGCTCTCGGTCGTTGTCGTCGTAATAGTAGTCGTAGTCAGGCGCAACCCTCGGACTGAAAATGGGTTGAATAAAAGTAAATATTATTTGCACGTCAGGTGATTGATCTTGGGTCTCATTTGTGCAAACAAGTTTCAAGACAGGGTGAGGGTGCTTTGAATTGTTATGTCGTAAAAAACTGCCAACCTTACCTGAAAATGAGCATAGTCTTGAAAAGGTGAACGACGAATAACCCAGCTAAATTTTATGTCGGTGAGATTGCATCTACCTATTCCTTCAGTGCTGAAATATAGGCTGGCTGAAACACCACAATAAGTTAACTGGTAAATGCTTGCAAATATCATTTCTAGTCCTTCGACCGCCCATTCATTCGTTGCCCTTACGCGTGTCGAGGTTTGTTGCGGCTGAAGGTGGTGGGACGTCTTGTTCCTCTCGTTCCGTACAGATCGTGCTCCTGATGACCCTTCAGACGTTCATCCGCCACCTCAGGAGGCACGTCACCCTCGTGCGAGTGTTGGATGTTCTCTCGAGATGCGTACCTGTCGGAAGCAGGCATGGGTAAGTTATATCGGGAATTAGGGATCCATTGTCATGTCATGGCATATGACATATGTCTTGCGCAATATGCAACAAAACTGTGCATATTGTCATTTAAACGGAACCTGGAAGAATGCATGAAGACTATACATTACAGATAATGTAATAGAGAGCTGAAAGGATGCATGGTTTGTTATAGTCAGGGATTCGTCAGAGACTCCTGCACAAGTTGATGGTATGTAGCCGTGTGATAGCTGACTGACTTCATGTGATATGAAGAAAAAAATTATGACGATGCGCAAACAAATTTGCCTACAGCCCAGAGCACGGGTCTTTCTTGTCTTCAATGGGTGCTTACCTAAAGTAAGGGTCGTTCTCGTCTTCTCTGGGCAGATATCTCTGGTAGGGGTCCTGCTGGGTCTTGTAGTTGCGGTAGCCGTGGCGACCCTTGTAGTTGCTGTAGTAAGGCTGGTAGTCAGACTGACGGCGAGAGCTTGCCAGTGCCAGGTCCGTGGGAGAACTTGATGAATCTGTGCTATTCAGCAGCGATGAACTGCTGCTGGTTTTGGAGTTTTGGACTTGTAGTAACGTTGTTAAATCTGCTTGAGCCGTAGAAGTAAGGGACGTTTCTGTTTTGGACTCCAGCTGTTCCGTTGATTTAGTGCTGGGATTTGACGATGCTTCTTGCTTGCTGGAAGGGCTCACTCCGGCAGCCTCGTCTGACAGGCTGCGGCGACTGATGTGGTGCTTTGGCGGAAGGATGGGAAGGAAGCCGTGCTCCAGCACCCCAGGCTTGAATCCGGGGCTGACCTGGCTGTCCTGTCGCCTGACCTCGCCGATAGTCGACGCCTGGGTGATGGGGTCAAACAGAGCAAGATCACTGGCAGAACCTGGCTTTGACTGGGTGACAAAATTGAGAGTTTCGTAGACTCCATCGACATCAACGAAGTTGTCGCTCAGTCGCTGGTCAGGCTCTTTTCCTTGGCTGCTGATGCTGGAAGCATAAGTGGTCGATTGGGGATATTCGCTATGCTGCCCGTTAGCGAAATGATTCACAGTGTATGACTGGTGGTTTCCACTAAACGGTTTCTTGAAAGACACTGCTGGTCCCTGCTGAACTGTGAATGGAACTGTGCTATCAAAAGTTGGAGTTTTCTGCGTTGTGGATGCTGCAGCTTCCTGCTGAAGAGTTGTGGATTCTGGTGCGCTGATCTGCGGCGAGCGGAACTGTCCCTGGTGAATGCTGGAATGGAACGAGTTCCGCTGTGACGGCTGATCCTGATGCTGCGGAGATCCGTGATGCTGTTGGGGGCTTTGGTTGCCGTTGAAGCTGCTGGTTTCTCTCTGGGGAGGAATCTGTCCGGGGAGAGAGAACGCCGGTCTCACAGCACCTCGACTGTGCTGTCTCTGGTGGTGTCCCTGCGGCGGCGACTGATGGAACCCTCTCGGAGGATGAATCGACACACGACCGGGATGGTTTCTCTGGGTTCCTCGCTGTGGTCGACGGACCGAGGGACGAGATCTAGAACTAAACGGGTTGCGGAATCCTAGACGAAACCGACGGGCATCGCGGCTCGACTCCGCCAGATCCGACTTGCCCTCAACTTCCTCAAAGACTTCGTCACCCATGTCGCGGTGAATCATGTGCGGCACGCCATCGAAGTAGCGATGAATGACGGGGTGTACTTCGCGCGGCTCGCTCTTTTTGTCCTCTCTCGAATTGATCTCTGATTCGGATCTGGAGTCGATCTCTGCTACAGATTGCGGCAAAACGTTAGCGTCCTCGCTGACGGAAATGTTTCGTTTTGTGCGATTATGCACAAGTTCTTTGTCGGTTTCGTTGAGGTTGATGTTGTCCTCTTCCTGCTCAACAGTTGGAGGATCGACTGCTTCTCTGGCCATAGCGGCTACTTCCTGATAGCGGCTTTTATGGGGCATGGTGTCGGAAGCATCGTCGTGCTCACTGAACTGGTGAACATCACTCCCATGTCCGGGATCTTGCGGTCCGTGACTTTGGAACGGGTTGGATATTTTGTCAAACATTTCGTTGACACGAATATCATACTGGCTGCCTGGGCTCCTGAAGTCGTTTAGAGGGACTTGGTGTTGTTCCTGTCCTCTGGTAAAGAACGCACCATCGTTCGATTGCTGCTTTTTGTAGCCTTGATGGTCATTTCCCTTTACAATCTTCTCCTTACGCTGATCGAAGAATGAATCGCCATTAAAGATATGATCGGGAATGTGAAAATCGCCAAATGTTGTACCTTGGTTCTCGCCGTTTTTCTGCTGGATGTACTTAAACTGTCCTTTAAAAGCCGGAGGCTCTTGGATGAATTCGTCAAAACCACTGGGTCGCTTTAATGGTTCACGCTTGGAGGATTCTACTTTGCCATGACCGCCGAAATTATGTTCAGCTGGCCCTCTCAATCCCTCATATTTCTTCTGATATTTCATGGGTTTCGAGTTTATCTTGAAATGCTTCTGATTGTTTCCATTATCAAAGCCGTAGTCTTTGAAGTTGTTGAAGACACCCTTTCCTCCGTATCCTTTCTCAGCGTATTTACTTGGTGACTTAGGCCCACTAAACGCCTCTTCAGTTCTTTGGTTGATCATGTCCAACAAACTCTGTGCCTTTCCACCGCTCGAGAAGTCCTCAAAGTCATCTTTCCTATCAACACCAGGAGGTTTTGCAACACCGTATCCGATGGTGTTCCCCTCTGACACTGGCCGCCTGAGACTGCCCCTGTGGTGACCACCCTGCCCCGGGTCGCTCCTTCGCCGGTACGTGCCGCTCATTTTCGGGCTGTACACGGCGTACTCGTCAATGGGATCCTCTGAGTGGCCGTTAGAGCCTCGTCCGGAGCCGCCGTACCCGCCGCCGTGCCCGCCATGGTCGTACCCGCCGTGAGAACCGTGACCGTACTCATCATGAGAACCGTGACCGTGCTCATCATGTCCACTGTATCCGCCGTGTCCACGGCCGTAATCGTCACCATGGCTGTCTCCCCCATACCCGTAGTTGTTCCCGCCACCACCGTAGTGGTTTTCGTCACCCTCGTAGTGGTTTCTGCCACCGCCATACCCGTGGTCGTCACTGTCGTAGTCGTTTCTGCCGTCACCGCCGCCATTGTAGTGATTACCACCAGTGGTGTACGAGGTTATGCCATCGTTGTGGTTCCTTCCACCGCCGTGGTTTCTACTACCTCCGTAACCATCATCGCCGCCGTAGTTGTAACCATCGTCGTAGTTGTTTCCACCACCATCATAGCGACCTCCGCCGTAGTGATCGTCGCCACCTCGGTAGTTGTTTCGTCCGTCTCCGTGGTAGTTTCCACCACCGCTGTGGTAGGTTCCGCCGCTGTAGTGGCCCCCGCCGTAGGGTGTTTCCGAGTGGTAGCTGACAGAGTCGGAGTCGCCACCCTTGTGGTTGTATTGGTGGTGGCCCTCGTCATTATACCTGGCGAAGAGAATAAACTGTCAATTACGAAACTCTTGGTATTTGGGAAAGACGGATAAACTTGTCTTCATTTCCTCTGAAACATATTTCGTTGAAGTTGCTTCAAGACAGCACAAACAAAAGTTAGACAATGACAAAATAAAATGAAAATGAGAAGATGAACAAAAATTTACAATTGATGTTTTTAGCATGTGCCATTTTGTAGCATGATGCGGATTGATGTTATCATTGTAGAAGTGAACTTTGTTGGGAGGAATTGAACGTCGGTCCGCATCAGCCTCCGAGCCGAGCTGTCTGATCACAGAACCCGTTCGTTCGGACTGACCTGTCGGAGTCTCCCTTCTCGGGAGCGTCGTAGCGACTGTCATAGCTGGAGCCCTTGGTGGGCGACTGGTAGTGGTTATTCCAGGATGTGCCGTAACTCTGTGAGTGGCCGTCACTGTATTGGCGGCCCGAGGCCGGCTCACTTCCGGTGACGGAACCGGAACCGGAAGTGGTACCGGAAGTGGAACCGGGAGTTAATCCCGACCCGGAAGCGTAACCGGACGAGTCATTGTCGCTTGCCTGAAACGAGTGATATTGTCACTATTAATATAAATAGAGCAACATATCTAAATTGGACATAAGCAAGGAACACGCTATCTTCCATAAAGCCTTGGTCATATAGTGCCGGCATGAGTTGTGGGATCAGCCCCATCACCCAGGATTCATTTTAGGGGTTTTAAGAACATGTTGGGGAATCACCTAGGGAATTAAGACCTCGTGTCAGATGAATAAAGACACAAATGAATCGCAAAGCTACCGAGGGCGAACCACGAGCGACAATTTGTGTAATATATATCGACCACTCCCTCTCGAAATTAAGTCGCCTTTAACGTTCTGTAATTATTATAGACATTACAGATAAATGTGCTTAAAGTAAAATAGAAATCAAATAACCAAAATGTGACATTTTGACCTATGACATCGCTGCTGCTTTCAATTTTGCGTATTTAATTACGATGCACCTTTGGCATGTCGTGTACCAGTAGTCAAGCAATAGGTATTCATTCAGCATTATGCGTTTGAAATGAGTTCCACTGTACGTTAAAAATGCACCTCCGACATGATCAATGATCATGCATGACTGACTCACGCAGATCATGTGATAGCACGTGCTGTCCTTCGGTGGAGTACCGCAACATAGCGCGATTTAAACTTACGCTGACTCATATACATAGTTGCATATATCACACTCGTTCAAGTGTGATTATGACTTATGATGCATCGCTTGCACGTCATCAAATGCAGACTGGGTCGCATGATGATATGGATAAAGCAGTGCGGGACTTTTGGAGTGCAAATGGAGGGTATAGTAAGTGGGGATTTTATTTATCACGGTGATTGGTGCGAGGCTTTATATGAGGCTGATATGGAGCTACTTGTTGTGCTCATTGAAAACGATTTAGCTCTAACAAGTCGCTATACCTTCACGGGGATACATTATGTAAGTGAAACTAATCTATGCATTTTGACGCACACTTTGTACTGATTGTTACTTACAACAAGAACAGCTTTTGGGCGAGAGGCACAATTTGGTGTGCATTTTTAGCAAGAGGCTGGTCAATCGGACCAACGTAAAACGTGAAGCGTGCGTAACCTTCAAATGTCAAGGAGCGTATTCTTTGTCTGGCGCAACCCAGTCCAGCTTACCTTAGAGAATCGTCGACCACCTAGTCCCGGCGTGCCGTCCACACGAAAAGCTTCCTCTAGATTCGCCGGAAACCGAAACGGAGTGGTGCCAGCCAGCGAGCTGCCAGCTGACTCGGTTGCCGTGGCAACGGCTGCCACTAGCAGCAGTGACGACAGAAGGTGAACACACGCCTGAAAAACGCATTTTATATTGGTCACTTGGGATGGGGTCTCAATTAAGGGCTCTTGACAAGACGGGTCAAATTGTGCTTGCATGGTCTGCATTTTTTCATACCGTATTGTGTTAATTTATATTTTCATATTGTAGGTATTATGTAAATATAACGGGCATTGGCAGTTTACGTATCTTTTTATGAAAAGTTGTATCCTAGTTGCTTAAAATAACAAATCTATAACCTCTATTTGGCAAGCAAACATTATAATGATGACATAATTACAATCAAGGAACCGATTGACACACTAGTGGTTGACGATGACGAGGTCGATATTCATTCATGATTAGAGCCAACATTTTACCTATTTGTACATATGACCAAAGCTCATCTGAATTGAACAATTTGGCCACTCACGTCTGGTCACATGGGGGGGGGGGGGCGGCATGGGTCTTCCCCACAGGGGAGCAATGCCGCTTCAACCCTATTGGCCGTAGTGTCTAACGGTGGCGGCCATATTGCGCAGACCAGGAACCGGCCGCCGCCTGTGTTGAGGAATAGGGAATTTGGGACCTCGATTTACGTTTGCGGCCGCCGTATCCGTTACGTTCAAGTTACGTAGATACGGAACCCGGCGTCTTACGCAGAATTGAGTGGGGAACACGATCGTATCTTCAGAATTCCTCAAATTCACTCGCCTGACCTACATTTGCCCCGGCCGAGGGGGTTGATTGAACCCACCTCGCTAAGGCACCGCTAATTAACTAGAATTAAGCGGTAAGTGGTCGTA